CCCCCCCCCCCCCCCCAAAAAAAAAGTACTTTTAAAAAAAATTTAAGTTGTTTGGCCAAGACGTAGAAATACTTTGGCGAGCAGCAGAAGCAATTTTTCTGCTTTTGGGAAGAAGCAGAAGTAGAATATCCTCACAATTTATATTTTTCAAATTATCCCTTACTGATTTAAGTTTTTTTTTTCCATTTTTACCATTCTTTTAAATTTAATACGTGAATCATATTGTAACTTTCCAAATTCTTTATTGACTTTTCTTGGTTTTATTTTCTTAGGGAAATGACTAGCTATGTCCATTTATAGGTAGCTCATTACAAAAATTGGTCAATTGATAAAATATTACTAATATTAGCCAAATTAGCCAATTAGCTATTTGTAGCAAAAAAATACCAAATTTTTGCTTTGTTTTGAGTGGGTATTATTAGAATAGATTGGGCACAACTTAAGGAGTTTAAATCTCAGTTTTGGGATGATTTGGTGAAGTTTTGAGGTGGTTTTGAATTGAAAATTCGGTAAAAACTGAACATGAAAAAAATGATATGTGTATCACACTGTGTATCATTTGTGTATCACATATGTATCATATTTGTATCTATTGTGTATCACATGTATATCCATGTATACCTGTGTGTGAGATACATGCATGATACATGTTTGATACATGTGTCGCAGAAGACTTTTTTGAACTCGATTTAATTACAAATTTTGGTACAAAACCAGTCCAAATCACATCCAATCTTCCTCAAATTTTGTATATTGACTTATCTATATATTTTCAATGAATTTCAACTATACACATTGAAAAAGTTCCTTTTTTTTTAGATTTTTGGAATATTGTATATATTTTGTTGTATTTCATCACTTTATTTGCTACCTCATCCATAAAATTTCCTTTCCGTCTTGTATCTAGTGTTGCTAATCACGCTTAAGAATATGGAAGGTGATTTTTGCATGTGATTCTTTGAGAGAAAGAACCATATTATTTGGTTTTTCAATTTTTGTTGGCTAGTTTTGGTAAGTCTATGATTAATGGCTAGAGGTTGGTAAGTTGAGATTTATTTAGGGCATTTGTGTAAGTTTTCCTTTTTTCTTTGTGTAATGTCTTGTAACTTTTCAAACTATCTTCTTCTTTTTCCATTCTAAAGCAAATTATCTACATCCTTCTTTGGATTATCAATCATCTTCTTGCAAATAATCATTTATAAATTTTTCTCTTATAGGCTATTAATTTCCGAATCTTTAAAACAATTATCAAATATAATTTGTGAAAATTACCTATAAAATAGGTAATAAATTTATAATCGCATCGCATAATCTATATATTATTAAAAGAAGGAGAAAAAAGCCTCCACATTAAGCCAAGTGGCAGCTCATAATAGGCCACTTGGCAATTTAGGACAAACTTAGTTAGGTTAGGTAATAATTAGTTTATTTCTGAATTTAAATTTTAAAAAAGAATTAAATTATGCATTATGTGTTGTTAATATTAGTTACTCTTTTCGAATTTGAATTTAAAACATACTTAACTATTTTTTTTACGAAAACAATAATTTTTTATATATTTAAAATTATTTCTGTTTTACACTCAATACCATCTTTCAAGTTTGACATTCAAGATCATCTTATTACAACTACCATAGCTATACAAAATTTTATCCGACAACATTCTTCTACCGATAAGAAATTCAACTATTATGCTAATGAATACATTACTGCAGAGATTGAGGAAGGAGATGACTCTTCTGGCATTCCTTTAGAAATGCAAGGCAAGTCTTCTATTAATATGAAGGCATTGTGTGATAGAATTAGAGATGAAATTATTGAGAAATATTATCATGTGTGAGTGAATTTAATTATTATTTCATGGTGGATTACTAATATATAGTAATTTGTGGAATAGACTTTTAACTCATGCTGAGTGGTGTATTTTGATTATTTAAATAATCATGTAAGTAATAAGTAATTATATTAGATTATATTATATGCTTTGGTATAACTATATATGTTATATTGATTTAAATCTTTAATATGTATGTTTACTTTATGTTTTATATTAAATAAAATAAAAATAATAAAAGTCTGTTACGGCAAATATTTAAGTTTATTTTTTCTTTAAAATAATTATAAGACCTTAGTACTGTTCTTTTTGATAATTTGACAATCAAAAATACTTTTTAGAAAGATTTTCAAACACAATTTATTCAGCAAATGTCAAAAGAAGTACTTCGGGGAAAAAGTACTTTTTAGAAAAAAGTACTTAGAATAAGCGGTTTTTGGGCCAAATGGGCTCTAAATCTATGAAGTAACAACCAAACTCTCCGCTATCAGCGGCGTGGAGAGGAATCCACGTCAGAGGGCCCCAACATAGGATCCGAAATCTGGGCCGGAAAGTACAGTTACTTCCAGTACCAAGGCACCACGTGAGAATTACGACACACTCACGAGGGGATCGGGCCCCCACAAGAGAGTCCAAAAGTTTTGGCGGGTCATTCACAACAAATTCAAATTAGTAATCCCTACCAAATCCCTAACTTTTTCTCCAATCAGTCAATTCATTCTCATTTCCCTCCTTTTCCCCATTTGCTAGGGTTAATGCTTCTCTCTTTGCTTCATTTCAGGTTCCTAATTTCTAACTCTCCTTTTATTTTTCTGTTTGATTTTGTCTGTGTGCATGTTTCTGTGTATGTGTGTGTGCTTTGTAAAAATATACGTACATATTGTACTTGTCCTGGAGATTCATTATTTTTTTCTATTTTGTTTCTGATGTTTTCTTTTAGGTGCGAGCACTGCTTTTTGCCAGAATTCTGGGATTTAGCTGTGGATTTTTGCTTGTTTTTCTGTAGGTAGGGATAACATTCAAGCTGTTTTTGAAGGTTGTCCGCATCAAGTCAATTATCAGAAGAATATTTGCCTAGCTTCTGTAAGAATTTTTCAGTCACTTCTTCGAGAATTTGTGCCTAGCTTCTGGAAGTATGAACATATTCCTGTTTTGATAAGTTATTTCCTTTTGTCCTTTTTGACTTTTTCAGGTTAACATGGAAAGAAATCTTGGTTAGATTTACTCTTAAATTTGAGTGAAGTGGAAAACTTGAAGGTAGAGGAGATCCCTAATTGCCTGGCAAGTAGAGAAAACAGAAAGAGAGTAGTATGGGGAAAGTGTCTCCTAAAGATGGCCAATGCAAACTTCCAAAACAGAAGAGGCGGTCGAAGAGTACAAAGAGCATGTATCTGAGACCAGGTGCTCTGGCACAGCTTCGGTACACCAAGGTTTCTGCTGCTAAATGTTGTACTGATCTTTGGAAGAAAAGAGTGGTGGTAAGGAATGCAGATAATGCTAATGAGGAAGTTGTACTTCCAAATAATGTTAATGATGAGAGTTCCATGGTTCTATCTCCTGTGAGATATTGTTTGGGTGCTGCGACTTCACCCATGGATTTAGCCAAGCAGAATACTTTGCAGATGACACCAAAGACACCCGAAGCTGTAGAAGGCATATCGGAGTCAAGGCTTGAGTCACTTCCATTGGATTTGCTGGTATAGAATGTTCTCTTCCTTTTTATTGCAGCCAATAGTCCAACTCAGACTTTGTTTCTTATATCCTTGTAAATGTCAATTTGCCTGACTTGCATTCTCTTAAGGTAGATGTTGAGTCTTATTTCACTTGATGTAGAGAATATGAAAAATTATTGGCAATGGAAACACGAGAGGAAGGTTAAATTGTACTATTTTTAGATTTATAGGTCAATCTAAGTGATTCAGTTGACTCAATTTGAATTAGCATGACTTATTCAGTATCTGCACAGAAAGACTAGCGTTTATGGGTTTGCACAAGTTTAACAGTAAGCAATAAAACGGAAATAGTAACATTGACATGTGATATTTATATAATGGTTCAGCAAATCTATGTCCAGTCCCCTTGAGATACTTGGAGTTTTATTTGAGTTCCTTTAGTCGTCAGTTTGATACAATTTCCAGTGATGTTCACACACTCACTACGAACATTCTCTCTTAGCATGATTGATTTGTCATCAGTTCTTCACAGTTTGAAGCTAGTCGTGAATGTTACTATCTCTCCAAGTAGATCTTTGGGTTTCTTTTCCCTGTCTCTCTCCTCCTAGCTTCCTTGTTAGCATCACCCAGTACCTGGTTACTTACTGGAATATTAACATTGTAGAAAAGTTGAATTCAAAAGCAAGGCAAATAATTGCAAGATAAATAGGCTAAAGGACTAACTGATAAGCTGATAGCTGTTTGGAGAATCGCATGACCTATATTACAAAGACTAGGTGATACAGTGTAATATGACAATTGGTGTGTTTAGTTATTGTTTATATGTGTTTTTTGAAATAGAGATAGTATGATATCTAGCATTGGAGAAGAATGATCCAAACTAACCCTTCTGTCACCTAGACCTAGGCGTCCAATTCCTGCTGTTTGCTCCGCATGAGTTAAGTCCCCTTTGGGTATTTAGAAAACTTAGTAGTTTAAAAAACTATTTCTGTTTGTAGTCTTATAATTATCTGGCTGAATAGTTGATAGTTTTATTGTATTCTGCTTAAGGTTAAAATACTTTGCCACCTGCAACATGACCAACTTTATTCAGTTTTTCACGTCTCTCAGAAGATCAGGAAGGCAGTGAGTCATTCTCTCTCTCTCTACACACACACACACCCCTCTCTTTTAAAATTTAAGCCACATAAGAATCTGTAATGTCTAATTGCTAGTGTAAATGGGACAGGTAATTCTGGCAAGACAATTCCATTTCAATTATACTACTCCAGATAGAATGCGGCATGATAGGTTAGGAGCCATGACTCCTCTCCCCGTTGATCATTGGCCATTTGCAAGGTATACTATGATCTTGTGACAAAAGATGATTAAGGGATTTATGTGTTGAATTGTCTAATAGCTGTTACTTTGCAGCAAGGGGGATGGGAAAAGTTCATGGGTTCACAGTCCTCATACTCCTCAGGCTCCTAAGCATGGCCCCAGGCCCCCATCTCGTCTCAAGTTTACAGAGATGGAGCAAATTGCAGCTGTTCTTTTCCCTGAATCTGCATTTCCTTCAAGGTGTTTGGTGCCATCTGTTATACCAAAACCCCTTTGCAAGTCCTTGGGTTCTAATAGAGTTCTATTCTACGAGGATGAGCTATGCCAGGCTGTTTCTCAGAATAAACTTCTTTAGTTCATGCTGTAGTTTCTCATCTCCTAATATGTGTACAGTAGGAATCTTTTGTAGTAATACAGTCATGGTGGAGTTTTGTAATATTTTCAGGGCACTAGTGGAAGTTGAAGATGCCACTGGGTTATAATGTGAAGGTTGTAATGCAAAAATACTATTCTGGTCTTGTGTATAGAGTCCTGTATGATTTCCTTATATTAGGTTTTGGAGTGGCAATTGCTTGTTGCTTTATCTGTAACAATGAAGTGAAAGAAATAAATGCAATGTTTTAGAGGAGTTCATTGAGTGTGACCTTGCGAGGGTGATAGTGATACTTTTTACACTTTCAAGCGTTATTGCAAAATTCTTACGCTCTAAAACAGTAATGTATTCGCCGTTTCACAGTTGCTCTGGAAATACTTGTAACCCAAATTTAAATCTACAACAAGAAGCGCTGGCATCCATACTGTGTAAACTGATAGCATTCCCTAAATAGTGGTGCACCTATTATATTTCGTATTTACGGTTCTAATTCCTATAACCAAAGCCAACTTGCTCCGTTCGGGAGCTTTGACAAACTCATAAAAGAGTTCATTTTTAAGAGGCAAAATAGAAAGCAATAATTACGAGAAAAAAAAAAAGAAGAAAAAAGGTTGGAAGAGAGGAGATTTAGTGCTAAATATGCACAATTCTAGTTACCGTACCGATCAGTTTTGGCCAATCTTTTTAATTCAACCCCCATAGGAGAAAAACCTCTAAACTACTGGGCATTAGCAGCCTATTATATCTTCTTGCTAGTCTACTAGAAACATATCAAATTATTTTTTTGTTTATTTTCATCTTGAGCTGTCAATTTATTACAGTTTCCCATTTCTAATATCTTAGTAGTTTGAAAATTGAATCTTGATTTTTCATTTAAATGAGGTGGAAATTTACTTCAGATTCTTGATTTGGCCTTTTCTTTATAGATGTATGCAGGTCATGCTAGTTATTTTGATTGGAATGCTAACTTTATTAACATGGCATTTTACCAGAGTTTACACAACAAGGTCACTTAACACACTAGCATTTTGGTCTTCGCTATGAACTTCTGCAGAGACCAATATTACGAATGTGGAACATTTTAAATTCTACTGTTGAAATAACCACTGCTCAGGTCAAGCTACCAGAGTATGTAATCAGAAAGTATAGCAAGCCTGTTGATCAAGCTCAACAAGTTGAGGTTATTTCTTTCTCCTCCTGCTTTCATACTTTTTGGAAGCAGTGTTCAAGCTTCTAATTATCTAATTTTATTAATTTGATGTTTGCCCCTCAGCAGCTGTACAAATCCATGAAGGATGTAACGGGGGCTCTGTTTGCAAGTCGGAAAGCTCTTAATTCTTTAACCATCTACTATAGAAATGGTTTTGTTCAGGCTTTTCACAGAGATCACAGGAGCAACAATACATTCTACATATATTCTGATCTGCCAATTATCCTAACAAATCAGATTTTGTCCAGTAAGTGTTTGAAGGAGACATCGCTCATCTTGAATAATGTCAATAAATACACTTCAAAAGAGATCAAATATTCTCCTTAATTTTGATCATACGGCGAAAAACACAAAATGCTAAACCTGAAAGCCTTGTTTCAAGAAATTACCTGGAACAGTAGATTTTGCTAGCCTGGTTATATGAAATACAAATGAGTATTTGAGATACTTCCCCTGTCTCTGTTAATCTTCCCATGCAATTACATATAGCATAAAGGAAAAGGTTTAGAACAAAAGGGGGGAGGGGGGGGGGGGGATGAGGATGGTGGGGGGATCTTTCTGTGGACTATGGAATCACAGGAAGAGGTTTAGCACCATTATACTTCTGCTCAAGAGTTTATAACTTTGGTCATCACAACAATTTAGTCTTTTTTATTTTATTCTTTAAGACAAATTCATTTTGAGAAATTCAAACATTCAACACCACCAAAAACTATAAATACATATAACAAGCATTTATCTATGAAGGCCTATTCAGGCTAGAAAACTTGTAGGAAGCATAAGAAAGTGCACCAAGATCCCAGCTGTGATGAATAAGCTCTCCGTTTGTGCCTTCACCAGAAGCACCTAGCGCAACATGTAACGGATAGATGTGCTCGGGCCATGGATGTGCAACTTTTGCATGAGGAGCCTTCATGTCAAAGTTATTAACATCTTGATGCCTACAAAGAGATGGCTACTACATAAGCTGAAAATATAAAGTTAACAGTAGGCTTATTGTAATGCCTATCATCTCACAGACAAGCACAAAAACTTAATTTTAAAAGAGAAAGATGAAATATTGTACACTTCATTTAACGAGATAGATCAAGACTGTTTTCATTATCGCATTTCTGAAGTATTACAAATATGCATAACAAATGGGAGCGTATTAAACATAAAACAAAATATAAGCACAAAAATGAACAAAATTACTCTGGTATAAGCAGAAGAGCACACTTCTTATTTACTTGAGAATTCTTACGCTTTTAATACCAACAAAAAGTGAAAAAGGCAAGAATAACGGAACAAAAGAAAAGGACAGGATGAGCAAGGATACTAGGAAGAATAACTAAAGCATGTTATTAACACAATGGATAAATGTAATCTGATTATTTCCTTTGCACATTCAAAATTGTTGTATAATAAGATATATATATCCCTTCACTTTCGTAATTAGCATTTTAAGTTCTTACACGAGAATTTTGAAAACATTGACTCAATCAGACACATATGAGATTCAAACACAATACTCCCTCTCTTCAACCCAACACAGAACAGTATATAAAAATATACACAGCATTTGAAATATGATAGTTTTGGCTGTGACGCAAGATTTCCTATCATTTCTTTTATTAGACACAATATCTGGAATAAGTATATATTTCTTTGATAACCCTAGAGCAAGTATATATCGAAAGACGACATCATTTTACCTAGCATTTGCATTGAGTTTAATTTGAGTCTCTGGGGCTGATGATGTGGCCAAATAGATGCACACACACAAAATATGCAACTTATGATATCAGATGTTAGTTTGGAGCAATTTCCTGACAGATATTAGCATGTTGACATATAGTGCAAGAACATATCAACCTTGTCGATCAACATTAGATATGTATGTGATTACTTACAGCGCTACAAGTTCAGACTTGAAACAAACAAGCTTTTTAAAAAACTCAGTCCTTGATTCACCAGTTAAGCATGCAAAAGTAAGTGGATTATAAGAATGTACCTTCCACTGAGAAGGGCGTCCTTAAGCCAATTGTCAAACTCTAAAGCCCAAGAAGCAACACTTTTGGATGAACCGAGAGCCCTTAAGTTGTGAGTGGCAGATCCAGAACCAATTATGAGGACACCTTCATCCTTGAGGGAGGCCAATGCTCTTCCCATGTTGTAATGATAAGTACCATCCCTATTGGGCTGGACCGAGAGCTGGCAGACTGGAATGTCTGCTTCCGGGTACATGAGCATGAGAGGGACCCATGCACCATGGTCCAAACCACGTTTTTTGTCTTCGTGCACTGTCGTGAACCCTGATGCCATGAGAACTTCCTTCACCCTTTTAGCCAATTCTGGAGCTCCTGGTGCAGGGTATTTGAGCTGAAGATTTAAAATAGAGTCATTGCAGAAGAGGAATGGTCAGCGCAAGAAGATTTTAAGGAGTTAGGATTTCATGCCTATCATGCAATTAATTTCAAGAAAACAATGAGTTATGATTTCAAGCCTATCAAGCAATTAATTTCAAGAAAACGCCTTATATTGGGTGGTTTGTGTGCCAAAAGAAGTTTTAGTCCAATTTGTCATATTCAACAATTGGATAAGCTCAAACTTTCTGAAATTCTGGAATGAGACTTTGAAATAAATAAGGGGAAAAAAGTTTGAAGTGGAGATTAAAAGGGATGTGATCCCTGATTATGTGCTTCAGAAAAGTCCATACCCAGCTTAATTATTGATGGCATAGTCCATTCACACTTTTATAACATAACAGAGAAACAAATCGATAACTACTTTTATTTCATAATAAACGAAACAAGAATCTGTAAACTCCAAAACTCTCTGTAACTAAAGAAACTTACTTCAACATATACAATATTGTCAATAACCATCCACATCCATTAACCAATTGCGACATAAGGAAGCAACGCTTGAGACAGGCAAATCAACGCGTTGGCTTCGGCTCATGTTTTTTATAGATCAAAAGTAATACTTCATTTATTCACAAACCAAGATGGTTTGACAAAAAAAGTAGAGAAGTAGGAATAAAGGGATCTAAAGATGGCTGACTTGCTATGATCACATTCTCTGATATTTGGACATGTAAAATTTGAAGGAAATGGTATTGAGAGTTTATTCATCCCAACTAAATTTATCTAAGCAGATTAGAAAAGTCAACCTTCATCAATTAGTAGAATTAAACAGCTTCTTATAGTTTGGCTATGAATTCCTTTCCAGATAATCAGCATAAAAAAACAAAGAGAGGAGAATTAAAGCACCTGGTACATGGGTTTAGGGAAGCCGTAGAAGTCATGAATGGTATCATGGCGGCCACGAATAGAATTAACAGTTGGTTCAGAAGTTTCCCAATGAGCAGAAATCATCAATATCGCATTCGGCTTTTGATTTAAAATTCTTTCCCTAAAGCCTTTCAAGAAGTGTCTGGCGGGCAAAGACTCATCTATAGAAAGCGTAGGGGATCCATGTGATATGAAGAACGTCTCCTTCAATTTCAAAGGCAAAGCCATTTTCAATAAGCGAATTTGTCTTCGGACAATGGGCTATTTATTGGGTACCCAGAGTTGTCTTTGTACGCCGGTGCGTGTCCTCACGCGCGTCTCCCCCTCTCTTTTGCTTTTCTTTGCGCGTTCAACGACCCAGTTGTTTTTTTCCCCTCACCTACCGAGTAGTTTTTTTTATTTGCCTAAGTATACTATTAATCCCTCGATTAGTGGGAAATCTTAATTCTGGACCTTCTGATATTTGATGACACTTTCAAGCGTTATTGCAAAACTTAACGCACTAAACCTGGTAAATTTACAAAATAAAATCAAAATCGAGACAGTAATGTATTTGCCGTTATTGCTCTAGAAATACTTATAACACAAATTTAAATTTACAACAAGAAGCGCTGGCATGCACATTAAGTAAACTGAGAGTATTCCCTAAATAGGGGTGCACCTATTATATTTTGGATTTACTGTTCTAATTCCCTATAACCAAAGCCAACTTGCTCCATTCGGGAGCTTTGACAAGAGGGAAAACAAATTTATTTGAGCTCCATTCGGGACCATATCCTGCATCTTTCGATTTTTACCTTGTCCTTTGCTCCATAATTTATTCATTTCTTTATCAAATCATTGTATGGGTCGAAATCTGACCACACGTGGATCAACAATAAAAGGAATGGCTAGGGGTCGACTAAGTCGTGATCGTATTCATAAGACATCATAAAAACAAGTATCTCGACCGCTGCCGGGATCGAACTATCAGAAAGCTTGTATGGCGAAGCATATGTCGTAACACTTAAGGGAACGACCCAACGTACGATCAACAGATTATGGTAATCTGACTAAGAACCGTTGGGTAAAAGGAAATACTTACTATATATATAGGGGGAAGAGAACAAGAAATGGGGTGGTTCTCCTTCACGAGAAAGAGACAGAAGAACTGGAGAAGGCTGCGGGAGAAAAACAAGAGAAATTTCGGATCTTGGCAGCAAATCTTTGTAATCATCTTTCTTGAATCAATAAAGATAGATCCCGCAGCTGTTAATGGCATTCCTTCTTTATTCTTACATTACGGAACAATACATCAAGAATGTAAGCTTGTCATTTATGTTCGATTTCTTTTATAATTCTTAAAAGTTCATGAGCTTGACTATATCTTATTCTCGTATTCAATGTGCTTTGATCAAGAGTTAATTATCCATGGCTAGGATTTATCCTCTATCTTCTTATTAATTGGTTTAACAAAAAGCTTAATACTTTTTGGTCGAACAATTTGGCGCCGTCTGTGGGGATTTTCTAGCCAAAATCTTAGTTCCCTCTAGATCTAAAGCCATCCAGTGTTTCACTTCCCAGTTGTCGTAGCCTCACCCTCTCAGTATAAATACCAACTTGGGAAAGTTGTAGGCAAGCTTTTGGAATAACCAAACTAATCAGGGTCAAATCTCTACATGAAATCAAAATTATGTCTGATATCTATTAGCAATGGGTTTGGCACGTCGTATGAGTACTCAAAGTGGGATTACGGCCACTACGCACTTAGCACGTCCGCATTCCTATTTGTCGTATTAACGTTATATGCCGATCTATACTCCCACCTCCTAGCAAGGGACGATAGCCTACTGTATGATTCTTTGAAATAACTGGCTTATCCTGCTTAATTTTGTACCCGTATGCACAGTGTAATTTATGTACAAAGTATAACACGTTTCCCTTATTGTTTGCGCACGTCGGACGGGATCGGACCGGGACTCGAGCTCGAGATCCCAACGGGCAAGGTAAGTTCAGCCCATAAGAAGCCTAGATGTGACTAACAGCGAAGCTAAACACGGGGCTGCCAAATATGAAACCGCCATTTGAGTACGGGATAAAACGGGTCGCCCTACAGCGCCCTTCCCCCCTCACCGACTTACCAGGTCAAGGTAACAGGCAATTTCGTTTGGGTTTAACTTGTCATTTTTTCTTTTTGGATTGGGATAGGAACACGAGCATTCTCACAGGTGCGCGAACAAGGAACAAACGCCACCGAATGCACCAAGCGAAACCCTCCGCGCCATACTATATTACAAATAACAGAAACGGCTCAGAACAGGACGACATTATTAAGAAACAATCTCCATAACCTGGGACTGAGCAGTAAGCCCATGGAACGTACAGCCTCTCCAACAGAGGCAGAACATAAACTCGAAAATCTCGCACGTATGCTCGCCATGACAATCCTACGCCAATTCAGCCGACTAAATATTACGAATCATGTCCGAACATCGTTTGAATTGATGGAGTCTCAGGGCGCCCAGTAGCCCAAGCAATAAGTTCATCGCCCGTCCGTCAACGGCCTCTCCATGCCGAGCAATGAAGGGACTAGATAAACTGGGACTTCATCGACACATACAAACTATGCAACAACGCATAATATTCTCCAATGAAAGCAAGAATAAATAAACTGGGACTCATCCCGGCGCATGCATAAACGATACAACAACGAGTAATGCTCTCCAATAAAATCAAGGCCGCATGCGACATCCTTATCTCTCCACCGAACCAACCCGTCGTTCGAATTCATAACGGGTCACAATTCGACCTCGCTCGAATACACCCTTACGTCCCCCGGCCATCGCCAAGTGAAAGTAAAATTTGACCTCGTTCGAATTCATAACGGGTTACAATTTGACCTCGCTCGAATTTACACCCTTACGGCCCCGGCCGTTGCCAAGTGAAAGTAAAATTCGACCTCGTCGAACTCATAACGGTTCATAATTCGACTTCGCTCGAATTTGCACCCTTACGGCCCCCGGTTGTCGCCGACTGAGTAAAATTCAACCTCGACGAACTCATAATAGGTCATAATTCGACTTCGCTCGAATTGACGCCCCTACGGCCCCTAGACATCGCCAAGCGGAAGTAATATGCGACTTCGCTCGAATTTACAAGTCAAACTGACTTCGCCCAAGTTGGCAAGTCAGACTTCGAACTCGCTCGAATTTTCAAGTCAAACTGACTTCGCCCAAGTTGGTAAGTCAGACTTCAACCTCGATCGAATTTACAAGTCAAACTGACTTCGCCCAAGTTAGCAAGTCAGACTCTGACCTCGCTTGAATTTATAAGTCAAAACTAACTTCGCCCAAGTTGGAAAGTCTGACTTCGATCTCGCTTGAATCAAGCGAAATAAAACCGCATTCGAATTTTCAAGTAAAAATCTGGGACTCATCACGGGGAAATCTGAAGATCTTTTCCAAAAAAAAGAGAAGAAAAAAGAAAGCCAAAAGATATGTAACCAAAGGCAAAACGACTATTTTATTCAGAAGATGTACATGCGCAACAGCTGCGCCTTACAAAAGGCCAAAAGCGGGCCCCCAAGAAAAAGATGAAAACAAACAACAAAAGAACAAAAAAAAACTAAGTACAAGAGCTGCAAAAAAAATTTCACTCGACATCATCTCCACCGCCGTTCTCCCCAGCATCGTCATCATCAGAAGGAAGCTCATCTTCAATCTCAGCACCCTCACCGGCCTTCGGTGTCGCAGGGTCATAACTGCAAGCAAGATGAGCCTCGTGTGCCTTCGCCCGAGCATCTTCAAAATCGGCCTCAGGAATGCTCCCCGCCTCCCACAAACCCTTGTATATATCTCGTTGGGCCTCAGCATAGACCCATAGCTCATACAGATGGCGGGGAACAGTAGCAGAGGCAGATTCTTGAGGGGGAGCCTGAGCCAACAGTTGCGCCTTCTCGGCCTCAAGAGCCGCAACTCGGTCTCCCATGCTCGAAGCATCCCGATCAAGTTCACCAATCCGCTCTTCAAGCCGCGCCTCCCTTAGTGTGGTCGTCTCCCTCTCAGATTCCTGCTCAGACCTGAGGACGCGGATAGTGTCTTCTAGCACCGCCGCCCTCGCCAAAGCCAAGAATCAAGCCCCCTCGGCTCTCTCCAACTCGGTCATCTTCTTTTCTAGCTCGGCCACCTTCTCCGTCCATTTCGCACTCAGATTGGCGACCCTAATAGCATTATGCTCAAGCTCAGCTCGTAAAGACAGCACCTTCACCTGAAGGTCCTCGCACTCCGCTGCAACCCCTTTGCTAAGGGTGGGCATAAAATCCGAAAAAGCAAATTCCGAACTGAATCGAAATTAATTTGGTATTTTGATTTTGGTTTTTTCGGTATTTCGATTTATTTCGGTACAAAAATTTTGGTATTTTGGTAATTCGGTACGGTATACCGTATTGGGTTTAAGATATGTTGGTATTTCGGTATAATGAAATACCGAAATAGTTTAGTCCAAGCCCAACTTTATTTTTACTTTTTAGCCCAATAACCTTAAGCCCACACCCCAAAAGTCCAAAACTCCTAATTCCCTAATCCCTTACCCTTAGGCTTAGTCATGAGTGACAACCATTCTCTGTATAGTATTGGTCGAGATGAGCGCGTAAAAAGACATAATAGGAAATATTTAATTGTATGATCAAACATGATTTTGTTCATGAGTGACAATCATATAGCGGATTCCAACCTGATATTGTTGTAAGTCTTGTGGTACAATCATTCTTTGCTCCTGACTTGTATTAGTTCTTAAACCAAAAAATGTGCCTGCCTTGAACAAACTAAAAATTCTCCGATAAAGAAAAACATACAGATTACAGTATTTACTATAAATCCTCAAAATAAATAACATAAATTACACAAATAGCGGAAATCATTCATGGAATAAGATACATAAGATAAACAACCCAGTTTAACTATTTGAAGCAAGAATAAACTCGTCGACTAAAGAACACATTGGTTGGATTATTTCACACACTAACGACTATAAATCTCACAACAATTCGTGGAGGCAAATTACAGTCCGACAGTCATTGACTCATCTTCTTCTACTCAAACTCAAAGTGTATTGCCTTTCGTCTCTTCTCTGTACACAACCTGGGAACTTAAGATTGATCTTCGGTGGAATCTCAAACAACATGGATTACATTAGTTAATGGAGTAGGGGAGACAGTGAAGATTTGGTTTAAACCGAAAACGTACCGAACCAAAATAAGAAATACCGAACCGTACCGAAATACT